TTCGGAGGAGGGGGCCTCCGGGGTCGGGCTTCGAGGTCTGCGGGCCTTGCCGTCGGTGCTCGACGGGGCTCCGACGCCGGGATGCCTTCCAACAGCCGCGCCTCGCCGAGAGCGCCCCGGGGATGCCCGGATCAATGGTCCCGAACGGCCCCGCACGGTGAGACTGCAGCCGCCTCGGCCGCGTCCCGCTGACAGGACCTCCCACAGACCCCCTCGCGCCGTAGAAAAATCAGGACGCGATATGTGATGCCATTTTCAGCCTCGGGGAGGCGGCGGGGGTCGAGGGAGGGGGCCTGGGAACAAGGGGCACTCCATAGAAGAAGAGAACATGGCATTTGCTAAAGTCTCGGAGCTCCGCGCGGATTGTCTGAACCTGCGCTGGGACCCCTCCCTTCCCTGGCGCACGGAGAGAACAAAGGGCGGCGGCGCCAGGGGGGCCCAGCGCAGATCCAAGAAATCCACGCGGACCTCCTTCTTGTTGCCATCGCTCGGACGTCCATTCCCCGTGTATTTGTCGCTCGGGCGCGTCTTGCTTCGCAAGATGGCCCAAGAAGCTCCTCGATAGTCCTTGCCGAGAGCACATGCACACGCCCGAGCGAGCCTTCGAAAGGAAGTAGACGCGGCTCCGAAAATGTTGATGTGCATGTTTTTGTTTTGTTGTTCGATTCCAAAGTGGAGAGCCCCAGGCTCGGGGGGGCGGGTGTCGAGGTAAAGAGGTCCTTTGGTGTTCGACCGATGAGCATCCGTGGTTGTCGGCTGCGGCGCCACACTTGAATCGACAGGGGCGGCGGGCACGACGCAGGAGCGCACCCACACTCGAGGACTGCGCGACAGTTTAACAGTCGGATGGGGCAGATCGTGGTCAGGGTCGCAGCGACGGGGATGTGATGAATAATGTCGGCGCTGTGCGCATGGAGAACGGAATAGTCGTGGGCAAGTGTAGCAACCAGGTTGGATCTGTATCGTGTGCGTGGAAGACGCCCTCAGCAGATACTCTGAGCACGTGCGTAGGTTTTCAGCTCGATGTCATGTCAGGTGTGGTGGAATGCGCGTGCAGACGGCGCTGCCGGAAGATGACGTTGCGACTGCTCCACGAGAGAGCCCTCGGCCTCCTCAGACAGCTTGAGGCCCGGGGGGCGATGTCTCCATTCAGCACATCCATCGCGAATGCAACGTGGTGGCAGGCTCCCTGGCCAACGAGGCGCTGAACATCGGACGGGGCTTCGCAGCCTCGAGGCGTCGTGCCCTGGGGAGCGGCGTCTTCGGCGGAGGGACGTGGGCGCTCTCTTCTTCCTGTTCCCGTCCTCCCCTTGCCGGCAATGGCTCGTTTTTTTCTCAGACCTGCAATCCGTGGGCGTGTGACAATGTAGAGTATCAGCTTGGCGAAATAGAGTTTACGTTGTGCTTGGACTTCAGGAGGCCCGCAGGCGTGCGCCGTTGCGCGCACGGGGCGCAGTTGACCCGAGAATGTCCCTAGATTCTGCTGGAGTCGGGAGCTGGACACTCACATAATGCAGTTTGCACAACCGTACTGTTCAGAGAGCCTTTCGTAAACCCAGGGCAGGCTGAGTCAATGCATAATTTGTAGACAAAATCAATCTCCCCTGTGAGATTCCTCCCCACCTCGGGGGAGGGGGGGGGGGGGGGCTGGGGTCGACGAGCGGGGGGGGGGGGGGCAGGCCTCTTCTCAGACCTTCGAGGATATGATTTGCTCACATCACGGCGATCTTCCTTGATGTCGGCCTCTGGTGACTGTTTTCGGGGCCGAGGGGACATCACAAGTGGATCCCGCGGAGCTTTGGGGCTGAGGTTTACAAGAACACATATCGGAGGATGCCTCGGAGGGACGTGATCGAGGGACGAGGGGGTCCTTCGAGGTTCGATCGATCGTCGATCGAGCTTCGTGGGTGATCCTTTAGGATGCTTTTGTCGGCTCCTGCGGGTTTTCTCGCCTCGGGATGCGTTCCAGCACCCACGCCTCGCCGAAAACGTTTTGGGGGGGCCCGAATCGCCCCTAACGGCCGTCGAAGACCAGAGTGATAGCCCACGGCCCCCACCCCCTCGCCGTCATGAAAAAACGCGCGACGGAAAACGCTTGGCCAATGCCGGCTTCTGGGAGCCGCCACCTGGCTACAGGACCGCCAGAAGACAACTCGGGAGGAAAAGCCGGCCGGCACGGTTTCCCCCGGGGCCGTAGGCGACCCGAGGAGGACTCTAAGACAATACTATTCCTTCGGGTTGGATGGTACCCAGGCGGCTACACATTAAAAGGAGCAGCCACCATAATTAGGGCTTCGAGTCCTGGCGCGCGTCGCTTGGCGACCCGAAGGAGGAGGAGAAGGAGGAGGAGAAGGAGGAGGAGGAGGAGGAGGAAGGGGAAAAGGAGGAGGAAAAGGAGGAGGAGGAGGAGGAGGAGGAGGAGGAGGAGGAGCAGGAGGAGGAGGGGGAGGGGGAGGAGGATGGTGAGAGGGAGGGGGAGGAGATGGAGGAGGAGGAGGAGGAGGAGGAGGAGGAGGAGGAGGATGTTGCTTTGCCCGTTCGGGTACCGGTATAACGTGCCACCAAGCACGGCGCGGGCGAAACATGCCCATCGTGGCGCTCAGCAAAGCGCGGTCCAACAGGGGCACACGTGCACAAGGAGGAAACAGGCACAAGCTGTATCCGTCCTCCGGCCTCCTATTATTGGCTAACCCCCAATAGCGCCGAAACGTCGTGCCTTAGGGGGGAAACCAACAAATAGGAAGCAACGGGCAGGACCACAGCATTGGACCAGCAACCGCAACCCCGCAGGGTGAGGTCGCCCCCTGGCCCCTTCCCCCCCGCCAACAAGCGGGGCAGGAGGAGGCCCCACCAGGGGCGGGGTGGTCAAGTGCTGGGCCTACCCAGCAAGACAACACGGAGCGGTATCCAGCGCCAGAACCTCATCAAAACACGGCGAGCAATTTGCCCGCGGCCATGAGCATGCAGCAGCAGGAGCAGGAGGAGGAGGAGGAGCAGGAGGAGGAGAAGGAGGAGGAGGGGGAGGAGAAGAAGGGAACAGGAGGAGGAGGAGAAGGAGGAGGAGGAGGATGGGGGAGGAGGAGGAGGAGGAGGAGGAGAAGGCGGAGGAGGAGGAGGAGGAGGAGGAGGAGGAGGAGGAGGAGGAGGACGGGCCGCCTAAGCCCTTCGGAGAAACCATCCAAGCCGGCCCCGAGGAAGGGGGTCAGACCTCTGGGGGAGCCACGTTGCGAACAAAAGACGACTCCAGAAGGCAAACGGCTTTTCTGAGAAATGGGGTCTCGCGTCTCAGAGCGCCTCGTCCACAGACGGGCTCGACCGCGAGAGGAGCGGCGGCGCTCCAGCACGCCGTGACTGTGCACTGGGTAGGCCTCAGACCAAACGTTTAGGTCACCCGACGGACTGATCCGGCGGCGGATTGAAAACTGGGCCACCTCAGAACAAGACGGGCCGCGTCGGAGGCAGACACCCAGAGGATTCCTCGCCCTCCACCTCGTCGCGCCCACCCCGCTCCGTCGCTGCTCCAGGAGGCGCACGCAACAGCCTGGACGAAAGCCTCACAGGGTGAGCCAACTGCCGCCGCCTCGGCCGCGTCCCACTGACAGAACCGTCCCCCCCCCCCTCGCGTCGTGGAAGAACTGCAGCGCGAGGGTGGTGTGCCTCCTCCACCCTCGGCCTCTCGGGGCCCGCGCCGGGCCCCAGGACCGTCGCGAGACGGCTCGGGGATGACAAGCTGGTCCTCGGGAGCGGCCAAGAGGGGGGTGTCCAAGAGGGGGGGGTGCAAATCATGACCGGCGGCATGTGGGCGGCCCAATGGGGGGGCCAGGGACGTAATGAAATAAGAAGAGGCGCCATGAAATCTGAGGAACAATCATGGCCCGCGCCATGAAATCCACCTCCCCCTAGTCATCACCCCCCTCTGTTCCGCTCCCGAGGTCCGGGGGCGCGAACGGGTCGAGACCTCCCCGGGCCCGCGCCGACGGAGACGGTCACGACGCAAGGAGCCCGGGCCTCGCCCCCCAGATCGGGGGGGCGAGAGAGTATCAACGTCACGCCCCCGCGGGGGCTCCGCGGGGCCCCATCATCGGCGTGTTCCTGTCGATGTGCGCCTTCTTTCCTCTCCTCTTCGGGCGAAGGGCGAGGGAGCCACGCACGTGACGTGGAGCTACCTCCTCCGCTCCCCCTGCCAGCAGGCGCCTGCGCCAGGAACACGATCAGCACGTGGGCGATCACGGAGGCCGTGCACCAGTAGAAGCTTCGCGGCGGCGGGCCGCGCGCGCCGGCGCCCCGAGGGCGTCGTCACGGAGGGGGCCGGCGACACCGCGCAGGGGCTCGGGCCGACTGCGAGGCGGGGTTGTATCCATGTTCATCGCCTGGGAGCCGACGTCCTGGTGCCCCAGCGGGCGGTGGACATGGAGATATTTCGGCCCCCGGGGGCCCGAAAATGTCCATAGTCACCGACTGCCACGGGACCCTCCAGGCGGTAGTCATCTATACATTCCCGCCTCGTACCGAAGCCGCGGACCCCATCTTGCTGCGGCGCCCTCGGGCCGGATCCACCCGTGTGAGTTTGGAGTCCCGAAGCGGTGCGGTGACAGACCGTGCGGTGACCACGCAATCCGACCTCACCGCACGGTCCGTCAACCACGGTTTTGGGACCTCGGATGCCCCAGTCACCCGAGACGTCCGCGGAGAACGACCTGGGTCCCAAAACCGTGCGGTGACCCCGAATCCCCACCGACTCACCACACCGTGTGGTCACCACCCCGTCTGGGGGACCTCCGTGTGAGGGCACCAGGGCCCGCGACAGGGCAACATCGCCCGTTGTGAAGACCAGCGCGACGCTGAAATCTCAGGGCCATGGCGGCCTTCGGGCCACACCTCGGGCCATCTGGCCGTCCTTGGCGCTCCGGGCACGCCCGGAAAACGCCCTCGGCGAGGCGCAGCTGCCAGAAGGCACCCCGAGGCCGGAAAGACGCCGAGGACCGACGAGAGCGTCGCCA